GCGCTGAGGAGCAAGCCCTGAGGGATTCAGGATTCCCTGGGGTCTGGATTGGGCCTCAAAGACACTACACAGCATAGCCAAGGTCTGCACATCATGGAGCTGGCAATAGTGTGCCAACCTGCAGAGGGGAAAGAAGAAAAGAAATAGCCCTTAGCGAGTTATGGATTAAAATTTGGAACAGGGGTGCTGACTTGTCTGATCTGCCGATGGCAAAAGTAAAAACAGTAGCTAACTATGACACTGGAGAAAAATAGTGCACGTGCACACACAGCGGCTGAGTGGACGGGGCAAATATTCAGGGCAGGCAGGAAGATGGATTTAACTTGATCACTCCCCAAAAGAGGAAGGCTCGATATCAAAACCTCAGTTGCTTCTATTGCCATATTGTTCAGTGAACTTAAGCCAGGCCTCCCAGTTTAAGGGTACATTATTGTGGGGAAAGGAAATAGTCTACTTTCTTGGGTAAGGGCAATAATTAGAATTCTTGACTAGTATTACCCCTCGCTGTACTTGGAAATTTCTCACCCATTTTTAAAAGCTTGGGACACACAGAGCTCCAAGAAGCTAAATTTCTTTGCCTAATAGCACTTTTGTTCTACAAAGTGCCCTCAAAATGGACTAAAGTTAAATACTTTCTGGCTAAGGCAAGGTATGTTTGAGGTGCGACAGGTTAAGGAGCCTGGGACGGCACAAGTGAAAACATGAAAAATGCCCAGCAGAACTAATGCCACTGCTTGCCCAGAGATCAGGCTCTCAAGGAAAGTTTAGATAAAATTGTATTTCACGGAGAGAATGCTGGGATACATATATTTATGGGTTCTGGGAGAGACTAAAATAAAATTCACTTGAATGCAGCCAGTCTTCTATCACTAGAGCTTTGCCTCTAAATTGAGGGAGCCTGAAAAAGTTTGAAAACCCCTGCTATAAAGAATCCCAATAGCATTGCATATTAGTAAAAAGCCACTGCTTGGCATTTCAAGTAGGTTAACACAACCCTGGAATACTGGAGCAAAGTTGATTTCCTTTTTGTCTTTTTCAGCCTACCAATCAGCTAATGCTGACCCAACTTCCTAGGAAGCGAATCAAGAACCCATCACCATGCAGAGCTCCACAAGAGAGCAGGACAGCAGCCCTGCTGCTCTCCAACGTTTCCGTTCCCACCGCCTCCTTACAGAGACTCCAGGAGCTGGCGGCCGAAAGGGTGCTGGGCCCAGGGGGTCTCCAAGTCTGGGTCAGTGTTGGGGTCAAGGCAGAGATCGGTCGCTACCGTGGCCAGTGACCAAACCTGGAAGAAAAGGCCATGTCAGAGGCAGCAGCTTTTCATGCTGCCCCAAGCAAAAACTTTGGGGGGCTTACAGCATATACAATTCAGCACCCAAACCGCAACCAAATTTCTAATCAATTAAGATCCCCAAAAGTAGAACCAGCATAAAAATGACCACAATGCCTGTACGAAATAAAGGCTCAGCAGAAGAGCACCATCCTGATTGCTCTCCAAAAACTTAACCGTGGGGCATTCAGGGCATCCTGATCTTTTTTTTGGGGGGGGCAAGTTGCCCCATAAGGTTTGTGGAGTAACCATAAAGGCTTACTTTTGGACCACCACCCACCAGCTTCACGTGGGCAGGGCAGGGCAGGGCAGGGCAGGGCAGGGCAGGGCAGGGCAGGGCAGGGCAGGGCAGGGCAGGGCAGGGCAGGCTCTACTTGGAGAAGATGGTCCCGCAAGATCCAGATGACTCCCTCCCTAATGACGTTCAGGAAGCTACTAGAGACCTGGCTGTTCTCCCAGTGGTTTAGTCATATGTTTGTCTTTAGGCGATCATGTTTTCTTTTCTTATTTCTTTTCTTGTTGTATGTATAATTTAAAAAGGATCCAGACCCCAGGCCATGTAAGGCTTTGTAGGTCATACCCAGCACTTGGCACCGTTTCCCAAAACAAACCAGCAGCCAATGCTTGCCTGCACTACTGAAACTGCTCCCACGTGCCAACAAGAGGGCTGCTGCCTTCTGGAGCACCAGAGTCTGAGCTGCCCTCAAGGGCAGCCCCAAGCACAGTACAAGACAGTAATCCAAACACAAGGTGATGAGAGTGCAAGGGACTCTTGCCCAAGCATCCTGCCCCAAGAAAGGCTGCAGGGGACCCACCAGCGGAAGCTGGGCAGTCTTCTGGCCACAGCATCTGCCTGCTCTGCTGGCAGGAGCTGTGAGGCCAAAACCCCCAGGCAGCAGAACTGCCGCCATGTTTGGAGCCAACGTGGAGCCAGACGGTCTTTGGGTCAGGAGCCCCCCCCATCTCGCTGGGATTCAACCCGAGCCTATTTCATTCTGTCCAGTTCCCCACAACCTCCAGATACTAGATTGGGACCCCAACTGCAATCCTTATGGCAATCCTGCAAACCCCAATTGTATCCTCCCTCCACATCTGCTCCCAGGAAGGGAGACTGAAGGCTGGCAGAAGTTGTAAAATTTGCCACTAAAAATGGCTTCCTATGCTCCCACCCTCCTTGTACATGTGAGCAAACAGTATGGAGTGGTGGGCAAAAGTGCACAGGATGATGGCATCATAGCCTGGAGGGAATGGGTAGAACACCACTTTGTAGGTGCTGCACTGCACAGGGGAATACTTCCCTTCACACACATGTAGGGATGTTGGGCACACACCTTTTCCTACAGAGGAAAATGTGACATTGTAGGAAAGGAAGACAAATTAAATTTGGGGATGCTGCTTTGAGCATCTGCAAGTTTGCAAGTAATGTTCCGCTCCACTGAGAGAAAGAGGCAAGTTGCTAGTGAAAGGAGTCAGCAGACCATGGGCTTCCTTCCACCTTTTCCCAGCTGAGAAAAAGTCTCATGTTCCCTCCATCTTCATTCCTCAAACACCTGAACCGGAGAAGATCCTTGCAAAAGGAAGCTGGGGTGGGGGGACAGGGGAGGGATGGAGGGGACACTAAAAAGAGCAAGGATCAGTGGGCTCACTATGCAAGGGGGAAAGGGCTTTCCTCTTAAACCATGGCCTCCTGTCTCTTCTCAATGGCCACCCCGCCCCGCTCAAGATGGTCTCCAGACAGCCCCGCAGAGCGATGGGGAAGGAGCAGCACCTGCAAGAGGTCTCTGCGTCCCACCGTCAAGGCCGAGGCTGCGTTCTTCTGGCAGGTCTCCTGAATATCTGCCACGTTTAGTCTGAAAGAGAAGAGGTGCGGCTGAGGGATGCACAGCCTGTTCTCCTCCGCAGAACTGCCAGCTACCAGGTGCAGGAGTTACATTTCTCAGCACCTGGTCTACTGGAGGAAAAACAACCACCAACACCTAGGGGCATGTTTACATTAAGCAATGTATTGCGCATTCCACGTCACCTAGCAGAAATCAGTCACTGTGGTTTACAATAGTTTTGAGTGAGCCCAGCCAATTCTGCTTTATGCAAGACACCTCATGGGTTATATCATGTGCAAACCCTATCAGTAACATCAGTGATGCAGGTAAATCAGAGGATTTTCCTTGTCTATCCTCACCTTCCTGCTTCCCCGCAATGCTTCTGCTCCCCAACACTTCTCACAGCCAAAATCAACAGGTGAGGCTCTTAGATAAAGTCTGCCCCCAAGCCCTCCATGATAGCTGCCACTGGAATACCTGCCGTGAGCTCCATTTCCTCTCCCGGCAAAGGCCAACAAATGATGGATAACATCCACAAAGGCGCTTGGATGGTTGCATCTAAACGTATCAGCCAGGCTTTAGAAGCTTCCAGCTCACAGATGCAGCTAATCCATGGAGCAAGATGTTCAGGAGGGCCCTTCTCCTCCTGAAACACTGCCCTCAGATCCTACTTTTCCTGCTCTGGAAAAGGAAACACTTTTATCTTTGACCAGCAACTGAGTGAAGGACAGAACCTTTCACTCCTCTGCAAGGCTTCCAAAGAGCTGTGTTTGTGGTCCACAGAGACTATTTAGAAGCCCCCTGACCTATGGAGGGGACAGAAACAGGGACAAGTACTTTGGAATGTGGGAGAGAAGAGGGTGGTCCTTATTTTACCCAGCCCTACAATTTCTATTTTAAAAATCTGTTTCAATTAGACACCACAAAGAAAAACATTGTCACATTTGTGAGATGGGTGGCTATATAAATTTGATTGCTAAATAGGGTAAGTAAGTTAAGGAACAAAGCAGCCAAAAAAAAAAAAATGTTAAGGAAGGACAGAATAGTGTCAGAACTGTGGTGAATCGTAGCAATAAAAGCTTATTCATGAAGCCCCTGAGAGAAGAGACACCAACAGAAAGCCAGAAGATAAATCCAAGATTTCATCCTCTTCAACCTTCAGACGAGTGGGGGTAACTCCAGCAGAATAAACCCCAGGGCCACATCTCCAAAAGACAGCCTTCTTTAAAGCAAGGTTGCATTCTGAAGGGTTCCCCCCCCCCCGCCGCCAGAAAATGCATGTACAGCAAACGGCTCTTTCCAGGTTTAATGAGGGACTCCTCTCTTGAATGAGGGCAGCCCTGAATCCACCACAAACAGCTGGGCAAGTTGTTTCTCGCAAGGTTATAACAAACTGAAAAGGGGGAAAGGTTTATATAAGGATAGACAACGTCTGCCAGTCCGAGAAGGGAACATCCTGGAGAACTCTGTTCTGTTCTGTTTCCCCCCCAGGCCTTCCCTTTCTGGGGGCTGTTGGGCAGCTCTAAGAAGTCAGTCCTCCAAGCAGAAACCAAATGGTTTGTCCCCAGATTGATGAATTCTTGCCATCCCTAAATTTCAGAATACAAGTCATCCTGAGATCATGCTCCTCTTTCCATTGGGATGACAGCCGTGCCTTCCTCTCCCCCTGCTCCCCAACGACACTCGAACAAATCGCTCAGGCACTCACATATACATCTCCCCTAATGATTTATGGACAGGGAGCAGACAAGAGGTGTCCTGAATGATGACTTTTCCAGCTGCTTTGATGGGCCGGCTGCTGGCCTCTGTCCCCTCACGTTTGCTCTTCCATCGCCTGGATTTCTGCAGGAGGAAAAACTTCTGTTAGAGATGGGGAGAGTGGAGAGGGAGTCCAAATGCAACATCTTCTTCAGGGGCAGGAGAGCTCTGTGGATCTCTCCAAATTTTGCCCTACTTAACCAAACAGGAGCAGCCACTACACTGAGGCTTCAGAAAAGGCAGTCACGACAACAGCAGAAACAGAGGGAAGGGCTGTGGTGTTGGGGGGGGGGGAAGGCCCAGAGAATGGCACGGAAGGGAGCTAAAGCAGGAACACAAGAATCTTAAACCGAGTCACACCACAGTCTGATTAGCAGCGGGTTGCTTAACCTGGGTCTTTTCCAGCCCTCCTTGGAAACACCCAGGACTGACCTTCTCCATGCAACGTAGGTGCTATACTAAGAGCATTTCTGTGTAGGCTGGAGGAAAGGATAACCTTCCAGTCGCCAAGGATAGGTTTGTCCAGGGGAGATAACTGCAACCTTTCCTAATTCGGAAAGGCTGGTATATTGCGTGCACGAGAGAGAGGGATGGAAAGAAAGAGGAAGAGGCCAAAAAGAGCTTCCTGAGAATCCAGGGGCTGCAGCAACACAAGCTGGCAAGAAGCACTCCAGCACAAGAAATGAGAAGCAGCATCACAGAGAACAAGGGGGTTTACTTATTCTGGGTTGCAAGCAACTGGCTACAGCTTATAGCTTCAAAGACAGGTCATTTTATTCATCCCATTGGCTAGATTTCCCACATTATTAGATCAGTTTCCAAATACCCCTAAGGGAGAGGGGAATGCATGCAGAATGGGAAGGATGATAACTACATGTGCTCTGTGGGATCTCATAATGTTTTGACATCTAATTTGCAGGAGAAGGAAAATAAATGCCTTATAACATGATGAATCTCCCAAATGGGTCAACATGTTCCCCCAACAGGTCAAAATTATCATTTTTGCAGGGTGGGAGGTGGGAGACAAGAATGGGGATAGCAATGGGTGACTTCTCATTCCTCACCCTTAAAAACCTGCAAAAAGTCAGCAAAATGGGGGCCAGAACAACAGTCCCCTAAATGGTGATTTCAGGCCATTTTGGGATGGGGAGACCTGCAGCCCTATTCCCAGATTTGGTTGTTTTGCCATCAAATTTTGGCAGTATGGTCTTGTGATATTTGGGGGGGGGGGTTGAAAACAGGATGCCAGGGACCTCTTATTCCCACCTTTGGGGTACGAGTGGATTACACTTTCAGGCAAGCCCATTATGAGACTTGCAACAAAACTCCCTAGTTGCCCTTCCTATCTGTGCAAATTATTTACGTTCAAGATGAGAACTTGGCGCATCTCCCACAGCTTCCTCTGTGATGTACAAATGTTTGCTGCAGACATGAACAATATATGCAGGCACATAAAAGCTTGAAGTTCCTGTATTTTCACAAACCATTAACATGCAAAGCTGTTTTCAAAATGGTAAAGAATGTATAGAGGGGAAAGTTCAAACGCTGTGACCAAGCAACTTCCACCTCCGCCCATATATACAAAAGTGCTGAAATATTTGGAATTCGTGGCCTGTGGAGAAGTTTCCTATTCTGAAGAATGGGAAGTTCAGCCATCAGTATGATCTCAGAGGAAGAAGTCATACGAAGTGATGCTGGCATCTTTGGCCATGGTTAGAGTTTATGCTTCTCCTTGTGCATTTATGCAGCTGAAATTCTCACATGCACCTTGTGGACAATGCCAGGAATTGGTTAGATGTTTCTGCAGTCCTGTACAGAAAGGCACCTACGCCCCTTGGTTTGTGAATGTGCAGGCTGGGTATGTATTCTATTCTTAAAAGAGAGAGAGAAAATGAAGCAAAATGTTGCAATTTATCTCATCTTTTGCAAATCACACATATTTGCTTATGTTTGTAATTCTGAATTCCTGCTCCACCTGACAAGCCCTTCTATATTTAAGTGACAGGAAGGTGATTCTTAACTTAAGACTGTCTGCCACAAAAGGAAGATGAGATTAGAAAAAAAACCTGCCACAGCTACTATATTCTTAGCAAATCTAACATAATTCTACAAGTTTAAAAATAAACCATTTGAGGTTAAAGTGGCCTCTCAACTCAACAGAGCAAATTCATCGGGTACTCAGAAATTTCATGAGTTTCCATAAACTTTCAAAGATGCCTTTAGTTAAAAGTGATAAGAATATTCATTTAAATCAGAGCCATGGAATCAAAACAAATGCATCTATTAACACATTTTAATTAGGTGCTTGCAATTGGCCACATTAACCTTTAAAAAATAAAAGCCACAAGCGCCTCATAACATAGCAATGGTGGGAGTAGATTCTCCCTTCCACTTGCCCGTTAAAATTCCTCCTCCAAGCAGTTCCTTAAAAGTTAAATAATATCCTTTGAAATCCTAAAATTCCTGGAATGGCCTCTCTTCTACAGTATAAAGTTTAGCACTTTTAGCTGCTGTGCAGACAGAGCTGTCACTTGATTGATGAGAAGCTATTGGCCTCATACAGGCAGAAACATCCATTTTTTAGCAAATAAGTGGCATTGGCCAACAAGCATCTAGCGTGGTATGGAAGAGTGGAGGGCAGCTGCTGCTGCTACACAGGCCAGCTGAGGGCAACAGCACTAACACCCGGCTGTGGGAAGGGCGCAGGGGAAGATCAAGCACTGGAGAGCTAGAGCTGCCTCATCTTCCGCCATCAGGAAAGTTGCAGGAGGAGAGCTGTGTTAGTCTACAGTAGCCGAATATCAGGGGTCTGAGGGCACCTTTTCTGACCAACAAATGTTATTTAAAAAGGTTATGCCTTTTTAGAAAAGCAGTTAGGTAGAAAAGGTGCTACCAGACTCCTTGCGATTGTTAGCATCAGGAAAGGGACACCGTGAGATAGGATGCAAGCGGGAGCCGCACTCCGCGAGCATACTGCAAAAGTTTGCCCACGCCACTGTTCGTGGAAAGAGACAGCCAGAGCAGCAAAATTATGGATTGAGACATGGAGCCAGCCCAAGAATAAGCCACTGACTGCTTTGTGGCAACCAAGGGGATCTTTCCACAATCAGCAGAGCCGGACTGCCTACAGGCACGCACCGCGTCCTCAGCTTCTTCGAGGAGCGAGAGAGAGAGGAAATGTTGGGATGCCTCTTGGCTGGATTGGATGGGGAAGGAATTTCACACTGAAGATCTAGGCAACCTTTTCTGGACTGGAGCACATTGGTGGCTCCCTGCAGCGGATAGGTTTCAGCTGATAGGAAACAAGTTTAGCCCAAAAATGAAAACTCATCCCGATGTTTACAAGGGTTTTAAGAGTTAAGCGGTGCAATGAATGCCTTCAATTTCTACAAGGCTTAATGCTCCTAACACCCCAAAATGGGGGGGGGGGAACATACACAAACAGTTCTTTGTGGGGTTCATGTTCCCAGCATAGCCACTTCCTCCAAGATCAGTGGTTCACAAAAAAGATAAAGAGACACAGCCCGCCATCTCATTCCCAGTTCTGGCTAATGGCCTCTCCCCCCTGCTGAGCTGTCTTCATGGAGAAAACATGGACTCCGGATGGCTCACCTGGGTGGAAAAACAATCTCTGCCGTAAGTTCTTTACTGCCACTTCTACCCCAAGCTCATTGTAGGGAGAAGGAGCACCAGCTCCATCCCTCACAGCTCACACAGAAGCCAAAGATAGTGAAACTCTCTGCCTTAGGAACCTGGGAGATAAACAGAATTCTAACTATTAACTACCCTACTATCTATTTTGGATAGCTCACAGGCCAAGGGAGAGAGACAATGACTCCAGCGCTTGGATTATCCCACTTCAAACTGGAAGCAAGAGGCTTACTGAAGATTCCTCCAGGATTGGCTACAGACTAATAGGTTCCACCTTCACCTTCTCTTTCATACAGTTTTTCAGTGAACATTTAAATTATTCTCAATTTGGACAGTTGTTTGTTCATGTGAACCTGTTGATGGCCTCCATGTTCTGTGGAAGTGCCAATTCTGTACCCCTGAAATATCATTCCTTGCATGAGGGACATCTCAGAGGAAGAGGACCTAGATTTCAAGGCCATCATCTGGGGACCATACTTTGTGCTTCAGCTTGCTGTTTAGTTGTTTGGCTATAGCATATTGCATGAACTGTGTTTTAGAAAACCCAGACTTAAGGGTGTTGTGTGAATCGTGCCTATATAGGTTACACACAGAACTGATGACTAATTAAGAAATATGTCCAATACAATTATAAGAAGGATATAAGCTTGGATGCAACTGCTATACTGAAAACAAGTAGCAAAATAAAATGCACAGAATTCCTATCATTCTGCATGAACACAACTGCTCTCCCTTACAAGAAATGTGACATCATTCATTAACATTTAGGCCAGCTTGAAGAACACGGTGTTCTGGATTTAGTATTCTGCGTGAATGACTCAAGTTTGCAGACTTTGCAAAATGTATTCTCAGAGGAAGAGATGAGGAAATCTACGGCCACTGGAGTCCCACTCTTAAAATAGCCAGAGATCCTATTCTGCCACACCTTGAGCTTCTAAGCTGCACCAGGTATCTCCCCAAGGGGCACTGCAACTACAACTAGGGGACGCAAATTGCTTTAACAACAACAATTAAATCAAGTACAGCAGATAAGTATCTCCAAATAGCAGATGTGGAGAAAAGGCAGAGAGCGCATGGACATCTACTACCTTCTTTGAATTAGGCCAGGATTCACGTTTCACCCAGGGGTTCCCAGGCCACCATTCTGTCTCTTTATTAGCCTAAGTCTTTACTAGCCCAGATCCTGAGAAACTATTTTTTTAAGTTGCATAATACCCTACTCTGGAGAGAAGGAAGCCCTTCTCCAGAGTCATGGTTCCCTACTGTCTTGTTTCCACCACTGCCTTGAAGCAAAAGCAAACATTTTGTCCCAGTGGATATATCTGGAATACTGAAAGCATGTTCTGAACATTTGCGCAAAATGCTTGCCTCGCCACTGTAGGTGCAGCCAGTCATGAAACTCTCGTTTATCAGAAGATGATAAATGCTCTACCACACCTTCCAACCCCACAGGTTACTTTGACTTTCTGGCCTGGTGAACACGGTTCCAAATAAAGCACCAGCCATTTTTATTGTGGAAGGAAGCTTTCTGGCCCAGGAGGATCCACCTCCTTTTCCAAGTCCAGCGTTATGCGGACATGGTCCCCCCACGTGGAGTCTCCTCCCTCCACTCCAATGCAGGTCACACAAAGCCAACCAAGTGCCAAGTTATTCTTGGGCCTGTGAGGAGCAGACAGAGTTAGTCAAGAGTGGCAGGAAGACAGCACACAGTACCGGGAAGTCGTTAATTGCTTGTATGGACCACCGCCGTCTGGCAGAGCAAGGAGACATCTGTGCATGAGAATGTTACGCCCGGAAGAAGGAAAGGAGGAGAGCCATGAAGAAAATAAGAAAAAGGAAGAAAAGAACACGCAGCTGAGAAACTCTGATTTTAAGGATCAGGAGGCTCCAAGCTGCAGAAACGCAAAGAGGGCAGCTTCAAAGCATGGCCCATCTGGAGACACTCCCTCCCGGTGCTCCTGCTGCTCCTTTTTGACAAAGCAAAAATGGAAAGAGCTGCCCAAGAAATGTGTCCTTTGACAGTCAACTGCCCCAGGTTACAGACAAAAGTGGCCCCCTGGCCCTGCTGGTGACTTTTTTAAATTGAAAGGTCACAGACTGTTTTACTTTCAACCTATGGACTAGACCTACCGATGGAAAGCAGGGAAAAGGACGGAATTGTAATCCACCAAATTACAAGCCAGAAGTCTGTTTCTGGTGGTTTAATTTTCCCTGCAGGGGAACTGAGAAAGAGAATAGGGAGCCTCTGCCACTAAGATTAAACCAATCTTTTCCTGCAGGTTTGTGTATGACCTCCTTGCATTCCTCTCTGCTTTTAGTAGGAATAAAGAAAGGGAAGCATTCAGAACTCCTGACAGGCCAATGTGAACTGCTTTCACGTGGTATGAAAAACATGCAAATTACTCTGAGAGCCCACCCACAGGACCCATACGACTGAAGTAGAGGAATTCCAGATTATACCACCCTAGATGCCACTTTCTCAACCAGCAACTAGATATACAAGCTTTATTCTGCATAGGAGACTTGTACGTGAATATTAAAAAAAATGATCCCAGTTCTAAATGGTAAACTCAAGAATATCTTCATTCCTATTCTAAGCAATGCATAGATAGGGTCCATTCCTAATAAAGTTCTGCTTAAATAGTCCTGCTTACTAATCACTGTGGCTTGAGCCAAACTTGACTCTGAATTTGTCCACTGGGCCACGAGATGGAACACCCATGGTTCCAGGACCATGGGTCCCCAGCCAAGCCATCTCTCCAAAGGATCTTAGAAGGTGGAACCAGTCAAAAGCAAGCAAAAGTGTATTTCAAAGCCATTTTATGGGCTTCAGGGAACATAATAAATGATTAGCACCTGCCTAAGGACAAGCTACTAAGTCTCAGTAGGCTGGTTAATTGAGGATCTTAAGTTCATACGGGTGGAGCTGCAGGTGATCCTCAATTCCTGCAATCCCCTGTACTTTATTACTTCCTAGGGCATGTTTCTGAGTTCTCCAGCAGACGGCTGCATGGCAGGATACAGGCTGTACTGCTTAGAACGTGGAGCTGAAGGGTTCCTTCAGCATCCAACAGTTGCTCAACACAGAGTGCACTGACTGCACACGTACAGTAAGCTGTCAGTGCAGCATCACAAATACTGCTTTCCCCTAAGCATTTCCCTCACAGAAGGTGGGATTTTTGCACTGCATCACAGACCTGGTCAAAGCTGCTGCTCTTTAGCCACCTTTAGCCACCTTCAACGTGGCCTTACATTATCAGCTAAAGCTAGTCCCAAGTCACAGTTCTCAAAAGAGACTTCTGCACTCTCTCTTGGCCTCATTTGTATTAGAACAGCTCGCCTTCAAGACTTCTGGGGGAAAATGGTGGATTGAATATGGTGCCATTTCTTTATGGAGCTGATGCCCACGGCAATCAGAGGTTGGTTCAGCTCTTCAGAATCTCCTCCAGATAAAAGAGATGACAGGATCACCCACAGGCATTCCTTACAGAGGCTCGCTCGCTGTGAAGAGATTGCAATCAAGATTGTTTTTTTAGGCCACAAGAGATGACAGGACTCTCCTCTCTGCCGTATCCCAAAGGTACTGTTAAAGAAGGACCTCACAGCTCTTAAGATGAGACTACAGCTTTCTTGCCATTGATGGAATGTTTGCCCCAGGCATGACCTTCAGAGATGTCCAGGACAGACATTTTTGTCTGAATGTTTGCCCTAAATAACTGCCCCAGGATACCTACAGCATACTGACAGCAAATGGAGCTATTCAGTCTAAGAAGTCAAAAGGTGCAGCTTTCTACATTCAAGAAAGTAGAAGAAAATCAGTATTACAGCCTTTGCAACTGAGATGGTCTGCAGTTGTCTATAGTCCAAAATGGAAGGAGCTCTCCAGCCAGTAGCTTCCTGTGTCTCCAACTGGGTTCCAGCATAACCAATGCCGAGAAGCCTGCCATGCATGTACCCCCCCCCCCCAAAATCCATAGTTAACAGGGATCACTATAGAAATGCTGGCGCTGTCCCCTTGCAAAAACATGGACAAGTCCTCAAATACACATAATTTCCCCAGCAAATAAAAGCCTAACAATGGAGTCCAATAAGGAAGCAGCCACTGCAATCAAGAGCACTCCAAGGGAGAACCAGTAGCCTCTGACTGATCAGCACAGCTTACTGGAGAAGGATCCTTCAGGATTACTGGGGAAGCAGCTGGCCACTCCTCAGAGAGCTGCCAAAAGATTATTGATTCCAACAGGCTTTGCCAAACCAGCTAAAGCATGGGCCAAGACATTCCACTAGCCATGGGCTTACCCTCTCCTTGTAGTAGAAGGAACTGATGGAGACCTGCTCCTTTTCACTACGCGTGGGACTCCCACCATACAACCGCAGGTTGCCAGGGCTCTCTGTACGGATCTTCATGGGAGTGATGAGGCCACTGTGGTAGGCCGAGAGGGCCGACAAGGATCTGAATGGAGGGAAAGATGTTCCTGTCATTCTCAGGCCAGATGCACCTGGTTTGGAGCAAAGAGCCTTGAAGCATTTTGCATGCAGAGAATGCTGCAAACATTCAGACATGAATGTCTGCCCAGAGTATTACCTTCCCTTTATAGTCTATTCCAGCCTTTCCCAAACTGAGGTCCTCCACGTGGATTGGAGATGGTTTCAAAATATGCTAAGAGCTGTGATGGCCAGAAGATATTGTACCACCAAATCCACCAGCACAATGTTCTCTTATGTGGTCATTCTCAGTGAAGACCTGCCCATTACCTGTGTCACTGTCTTTATAGTTTTTGGTGCAGGAAAAATTTCTTTGCAAAGGGGAGGAAAATTCTTTAGAGAATGTGGTGGTTTTCCACTGCCACGTCAAGTTTCCCAAGGCTCCTTTTGCAATGGCAGTCTTAGAGGCCATGGCAACTGATTGTGAAGGGCAATCGCTTAATAGGTTGAATATTCGGTATTAATGGGATGAAGTTTAACTTGGTTATTTTATCCTGCTCTGTGTAAAAGCTTATGACTGCAAATCAAACAACCTGGATTTCCCACATTCTCAGAGAGAATTTTGACAGAATTATTAACAGATGTGTCAATAAACTCAGATACTGTGGGAGGAGAGCTGGGTTAGTCTGTGGTGGTAAAAAACCAGAAGAAATCTGGTTGCATCTTTTCCAACGAGCCAATTTAATTAAAAGGCGTAAGATTTCGTGAGCTGCAGCTCATGAAAGGTTATGTCTTTTAATTAAATTGGTTCATCGGAAAAGATGCAACCAGACTCCTTCAATGAACTCAGTTCTGTTTTCTTACTGCTGGGAAGGTCGGTGAAGGCCACTGCTTGCTAATGCTTTATGCTTACCGGGGTGTTGGTTCAGTAGGTGAGACCGTGCGGTGCATTGTCATCGGTCTGGTGAAGTATACCAGGTACCCTGAAATGATTAAGAAACCTAGACTGGAAAAGTGATCCTCTAATGGAAAGATGGACTCAACAGCCATTACTACATGAGCACCTATGAGAAAACGGCATCATTTAAAAGTCACATGGAGAAGTGACTTTTGCAGGGACCCAATATCTTGGGTGGCTAACAAGTATGGGTCCAGGAGTGTGCAACCTTCAGATCTGAAGTGGGCAAAGGGGCTTTGGATCCAGCAGGGGAACCCATGTTTAATCTATCTGCAGCTCCTCCAAGGAGCTACGTCTTTTGCTTGACTCACAGGATGGGGTATTCTGTATTTTCCTGAGCAATGGGGCTATGGTGGGAACTCAGAAAAAGGAGAAGGAAACACCAACAGATACAATGAAGATGCCCAAAGCAGTCTGGGAGAGCTTTTGCCTGCCTCAGGTCTGAATCCTACACACCTTGACTCCAGACCTAGATAAAATTCTCAGCATCCTGCAAATCACAGCATTCAGATTTATTTGAAGCAGTATGTTTTTTAACTCATACACCTATAAGGACTGGTGGAATTCCACAAAAGCAACTAACTTCTGCAATAATCAGATGTACAGATATTATTTAGGGAATCATAAAAAAACAATTCAAATAGCAAAACCTTTTCCATATTCCTGTTTCCTCATAAACATGCTCTCTGAACACAGGAAGCCTGCATATCGCAGCTTGGTTTTGGTGTTCATAAAGAGGATGCATCTCAAGCTGCAGCAGCATTGCTTATGGGCAGCTAGCTGCATTCATAACCGCCCTCCTTTCCAAGAAATTTGCTATGTCTGATCTTTTAATACTTTTGAAAAAATCAGAGCTAAGAACTTTCCCATTATTTCATATGCATTTTTCTAGCAGCAGGTAAATCAGGGAGATATCTAATCTTGCAACTGAAAGCTGTGTAACTAAAATATGAGGCATGTATGCAAAATTACAGACTTGAGATAAAATGGACCAATTATGACTTTAAGGCAAGATTCTGGATGCCCAGAATCTGTACGATTCATTTATTATTTTAAAGGATCCAGGCTTGCTCATCAACAGTAGAAAGAGGCATCAACCCCTGGTCATCTAGTATCTTCAAACATAAGCAGGGTTGGAAAAGGCCTGTGTGATCTGAGAATTCCAGGATTGTTGCCAGACCAGGCTGAAACACATTCCAGAAAAAGGTGCTGGCAAAATGCTTCTGAATTGTTGCCAAGAAAATTACAGGTAGTCCTTGAGTTATGGCCATTCCTTCAAAGTTACAACAGTGCTGAATGAAGGGACTTACAAACAGTCCTCAAAGTTCTGGCCGTTGCAGCACCCCCAGAGTCTAGGGAACAGAATTTGGATGCCTGGCTGCCAGCTCACACTTATGACCAGTTGCAGCATCCCGCAGTCACATGATCACCATTTGCACCCTTCCCTGCTGGCTTCCCCCAAGCAAAGTCAATGGGAAGCCAGCAAGGAAGGTCGCAAGTCACTGGGTTAAGAAGAAAGAACCTGCCTTTCTTTGCTCACATGCACCATGCCCTTCTTCCCCCCTTTGCTCGCACACACCTTGTGCCCTCTTTCCTCAGCCTCTCTGCACTCACGCACATACCCTGCACCCTCTTTCCATGGCCTCTGCGCGATCCCATACATGTACATACTCTGCACCCTCTTTCCCCAGCCTGAGATCACATGCACCCCTCACCCTCATTCTCCAGCCTTTCTGAGCTCGCGATGCATTGAGCACTCCCCCAACTTGTACGCAGCCTTCACTGGGCCTCCCAGGGCCTCCCCCACACTCCTTACCTGGGTCTCCCTCTACTTCCCACTTAAAGACCTACATGAGAGTCTGGGGCAGGGGTGGAGGTGTGGCAACTATCATCCGGGAATCTCTTACAGCTTTCAAGGGTGCTGCACCACAGGTCACGGGATGTGAGACTCTGTTCATCAAATTGGGCTCTAAGGATCAGTTGGGATTGCTGCTGTTGTACTGGCCTCCCTGCTGCACAGCAACTCCCCTGCCTGAGCTCCTTGACGCCATTTCTGGGTTGGTAGTGGAGTTCCCCAGGCTTATGGTCTTGGGGGACTTCAATTTGCATTCTCTAGGGATGGGGTCTGAGGGGGCTCGGGAGTTCATGGCCACCATGATGGCCATGGGCCTATCCCAAATCATCCAGAGCCCAACACAGAACAGTGGTCATACACCAGATCTGGTGTTCCTGCTGGAGCAGCAGCTATGTGATCTGAAATTGGGGGAGCTTTTGGTGTTCCCCTTGTCGTGGTTAGATCACGCCCTGGTCACAACGGGATTCCCTAGCACCACTATCCACTGCAGGGAGGCTGGACCTGTTAGATTGGTCTGCCCCTGGTGACTAATGCACCCAGATGGGTTCCAGAGGGAGCTGGGGGTTGTTCCTGTTGGCCTGCTGCATGGTCCATCTGAAGCCTTGGGAGCTGCTTGGAATAAAGGGGCAGCTGAGGCTTTGGATCGGATCACGCCCATGCGACCTCTCAGGGTTCCCAGCACTCTCCGTGGTTTATGGAAGAGCCAAGGGAGAGGAAGCGAGAGAAGACACGTCTAGAGCATCGCTGGTGCTTGATGAGGGACAAACTTGACCGAACACGGGTTAGAGCGGCTATTCATGCCTACTTAGTGGCGATAAGGGCAGCGAAGCATCATTACTCTTCCGCTCTTATTGAGTCTGCAGATAGCCGCCCCACAACCCTGTTTTGGGTGACATGAGGCTTCCTGGGTAAGGATGGCTCAGAGAACCTTCTGTAGGGACATGCAGAGGAATTTTCTCGGCATCTGTCGGATAAAATCGCTCGGATTCATTCTCAGTTGGATGCTGGTTTTATTGCAGGTCCAGTGGGGGTATCTAGGGAAGAGTCTTGCCCTCTTATCTGGGAACAGTTTGAACCTGTTGGACCTGAGGAAGTGGACAGGGTCCTTGGGGCTGTGAGTGCAGCCATCTGCTCTTTAGATCCATGCCCCTCCTGGCTTGTGAAAGCAGCACGGGGGGTGTCATGCAAGTGGGTTCTAGCGATGGGTAATGCATCTTTGAGTGAGGGGGTTGTTCCCTCACCTCTTAAGGAGGTCTTGGTTCGTCCCCTCCTCGAGAGGCCATCACTAGACCCCACTATACTGGACAATTTTTGTCCAGTATCTAACCTCTCTTTGGGGAAGGTGATTGAGAAGGTGGTTGCACAACAGCTTCAGAAGACCTTGGATGAAGTGGATTATCTGGATCCCTTTCAGGCCTGGGTGCTGTTTCAGGCAGAAACAGCATTGGTTGCGCTTTTGGATGATCTCTGGTGAGGGCAGGATGGAAGTTGTGCGTCCATCCTTGCCCTACTTGACCTCTCTGCAGCTTTCAATACCATCGACCATGGTATCCTTCTGGATCGGTTCAGGGGATTGGGGGTGGGCAGCACTGTGTTGTGTTGGTTCACCTCCTTCCTCCAGGCCGATTCCATTGGTGGTGGTTGGGGAAGAGAGATCCTGCCCTCAGCCCCTGTTATGCAGGGTGCCACAGGGTTCGGTGCTCTCCCCCGTGCATTTAACATCTACATGAGGCCGCTGGGTGAGCGCATCTGTCGCCTTGGGGTGAGGTATCATCAGTACGCTCATGATACCTGTCAGGTTCAGCCCAAAGAACTCCAAGAGACAATGCAAATACAGTTCTGTTGCGTTTATTAGCTTCCACCTCAAGACAGAATCTCACCAGACTGAACCCAAGTTCCCAAGCCAGCCAGCCAGCCAGCCAGAACACCATGAATTCCTTAGGGAGGTGCCAGCCTCACCTTCTTGAACTTCCCACGTTCTGTTGGGGGCTAAGAACACGCTTATCTCCCTGAGCATGGCCTTCATAAGTCCATTCCATCACAATACCCAATTATACATCTCTGCCCCTGGCAAATTAAGCAATGCTGTGAATGTCTTATCCTGGTGCCTGG